CAAAAAAAAAAAAAAAAAAAAAAAAAAAAAAAAAAAAAAAAAAAAAAAAAAAAAACTTTTATGCATCATTCAATTGTTGTGATATAGTTTTACAGAGAGTTAAAATTCGAAATGACGGTAGATTTTGAAGAGTTAACAGATGAAGACAGCTTCATAGTCTGGCTCTGGGTTGTAGTTAGGGGAGAGAAGGTAGGTCATGTACTGTAAATGCGCTGAGAATAACCCAGGGTCTCACTCAATTTTTTTCACCAAAAGTAGGTTCTTTTTAAACTTCAACTAGAACTCTTGTAGTAGGTTGGTCCTCCTTGTTAATGCTCTGATATAAGCCAACAGTGATGAAATGAAAATTCATCAATTTCATACTATCTTGGTATTACACTATGGTTGCATTGGGTAATCCAGATTGAACACGATTATTTAATATTTATGAATTTAAAGATAAAATTCAAAACTCCTCTTTCAGAATCCATTAGGACCACATATAGAACTAAAGAAAAAGTCTACGCACTCACTAACAATCCCAAGAGATCCACTATACATCAAACACACAACCTCACTGTTTTAAGGCCCGTTCATACCCTTGTCAACATTCCTAAAAATCCATACATATCAAACACACAACCTCACTCTATATAATATGTATGGACGCCAAATATCAACCCTGTAACAAGTGGGAGAGAGCGCTATAAAACACTGCAGCCAGCCCGCCACCACCTCTTGTCCGGCCTATATGTTAGATCAACTTTCATTTTTCTTCCCTTCCTTTCATTAGGGAGAAAATATTGTTTGAGCTGGAAGCATTTGGGAGTTACCGCAAAACAAATCAGTATCTCGTATTTTCCATATGAACACTGTAAAGCACAAAACATGTCATGGTATATTAAAGATCACCGCAAAACAAATCAGTATCTCGTATTTTCCATATGAACAAGCATAAAACATGTAATGGTATATGAAAGATCTAAGCTCTAAACCGTATTCTGTTGTACCCTTATATTTTGTTCACTACAAAAGTCTAGATCATGCCTACACAAAATTCCCCTAAATGACAGATTTTAAAATGATAGACGCATACTATTATGACTAGCTCACGTTTGCTAAAGACAAGATGAGAAATAATAATAATAATAATAATAATAATAATAATAATAATGGGATTAATCACACTGGTGCTGCGGAACTGTGGTTATTTTGATTCTTAAATTTTAAAAACTCACTTTATTCTCTAAATTTTAAATTTGTCCTATTTAAGTCCCTTTGTGTGAATTTCTAGAGAATTCAGATAGAAAAATAGGGAATTAAGTATGACCATGTTGTTTTTATCTGAAATTCAAAGAGAAAAATCACGTGACTACATTACTCTCTTTTTTCTATATGTTTTTAACAGAAATTAATATAAAAAAGATTAAGTGGAAACAATTTAAAATTCATGAGATGCAAAGTTAGAGGTTTTTAAAACTTGGAGGACAAACTATAATTGACCTTAAAATTTAGGAACACCGATATAATAATCCAAAATAATGAAAAATAAAGCATATAAAACCACGAAAAATAGGGGAGTTCGATTTTCTTTCCTTCATTCATCTGTTAACTTGGCAAGATTTGACTACAGTCAAAAGGACAATTTATTTCATGCATCAGATTCTACAGTTTCTGCATGCATAAGTCAGCGCATATGTCGGTTGGGCTGACAGCCCCTCGCAGCACATGCAGACCACAGAATTGCAACCAACAAGTATCAACTATCAAGCACAGGAAACTGCCAAGTCTTCTTGTGTTAGGGACAAAGAAGTATCAAACTTATGTTTTGACAAAATTTCGTTTGTTATATAGTCAGAGATCCTAAGACATGACCATATCTGTAGTTGGCATGACGTGTCAAATATAGCTGGACTTTCTAACAACATGTATATAACTCCATGATTATCGTTTGCTCCTCAACAATCAACTAAGAGAATTCAAAGCAGAGACCCATTAGCTAAAAAGAAGCAGCAAAAGGCAGACAAATCATGCTTGATTGAAGCTGCATGTGGAGGCAAACTGACCCCTCATGTTCAAAAGTTCAAGTCCTGCCAGCTATTATTGTCTAATTTTGAATTAGACAAATACTATTTAATGTAAATAAGTCCAAGAATATTTCTATATAGTTGTTAAACCTGAAGTTTTTCAGGTGGCAGATTTAAGATTCATTTTTTAATTAAAGCAGAAACAACATACGATTGAAACAAATAATAGATACAACGATATTCAAAGCAAACAAAGCTCCAACACAAGTCTGATGGGCAATAGTAAAAATTGGTTTTTCCCTAGCCAGTTAAAAAGCTTTGGGCAACTTGACATACAATGAAAGAAAATAATGAGAGATTGGAGTTGCCACGAGGCTTCTTCAGGATGCGATGCGATACTTTATTCCTACTTCAAAATTCCATCAGCAAAGATTCCTGCATTTTTTTGCATCAGTACATCATGAGATCCATAATTGAAATACCAAAACATGCATGCGCAAGGAAAATGATTACGACAGAATCAGAGGTTATATAAGAGGATCATGTTAAGTTACAAATAAAAGAGGGCACCTCCAGTGATACATGTCACATGATTCTGGTAAATATATCATACCCTACGGAAGGATTCTTGTTTTTAAAAATTGTCGTTTAAAGCAAAAGGGTCCTCGAAATAAGATCAATACAATACTATTTCTGTACAGATGTGGAAGTAAAGAACAACAAGAGAAGGATGGTGAGAAAATACAAGAACTAAAAAAAAAGGTGCAAGAAAAGAAAAACCTCTTTTTTTCCACAACTCAAGTTCTTTTGCTACAGTATAATTTCTCTCACAAATATTCAAATTAAACTTTTTTACTATAGTAGTTTCTCTCACATAAAAAAGTTCAAGTTGGGACTTGAGTTGTAAAAAGTACACGCCCTAAATATTTTGGGGAAATAGACTTGGCATGAAAGAATCAAAGAGAGCTATGACAGAAGGGAAAGATTATCATTTCAGTTGTACATAAACTAATTCGTTAGAAAATGGAGCAATAAGAAAGAAAAAAATCAGTGCAGGCAAAAAATTTCAAAGCCTAGGAACCAGGAAAGCGAAGTTAAACACCATCCTTGAAAGGTGCAGCTGTCATACTTTTCCCTCAACCACTTCCAATTTTGAATGCTTCTCTTAACAACGTTGTAATACAGTTCTTCTGCTTTCACTAACCATTAACACTTGTTGCAAAGACTCACTCACTCACCTTCACATTAGTGAATACTAATGAGCATACTAAAATGTTCAAATTTCCTGCAACGCAACTATATCATATAATAACAAAATAACCATTAATTTGTAACTCACTATTTCTTTTACACACCAACTGACAAAGATCAAAATTTCCGATTTGAGTACCTTAAATTTCTTCCAGGACACTCTATTGAAACAGAGAGAGCAAGAGATGACTCTCTACAACATACAATCGAAATCATTCCATCCTTAATAATAATAAATAAATAAAAAGAAGCCTCTTTTGACTTTATAGAGCTACAGATATCGAAATAATAAACTTATGCTTGGCGCTTGCATAGTGAAACAGCCAAAGGGAGGCCATCCTGTGGCCCGGGTCTAGGCAAAATAAGTTGATCAGCTTCAATAAACCCAATAATATTACCCCACTTGCCACCTAATGTTGTTAGTTGATTCTTCTCGTATGCTCTCTTATAACCCAACAGTGACCAGCTTGCTTAGTTCCCTGTTCCTATTAGCCAGTGCAGATTATTTCCAACACTAGTACTTTCTTTTCCCTTTTCCTGTTAAAGAGTTTGAAATTTACACATATTCCATCTGCTTTTCCAGTAAGCAAAATCCAAAACCAATTCAAGGTATAAATAAGCGACCTAAATCAGGAGGAAACTTAAAAAGTATATGGCAAACACATTTTCAACAGTGTTTCACATAGATGCATATTTTATATCGTCTATTTGCGAAAAGAACCATAATTTGATGCAAAATCAATAAACCACAAGTCTCGCTGTTAAACATGTTTTAAAATATATAGGCTTAGTTTGGGATTGTTGTGCTTTTGAAAGAAGTCCTACTTTTACAAGCAAAAAGCAAAAATTTAAGTCTTGTTCGTTTCGCTCATTTGAGTTGAGAACTTGAGTTAAAAAGTGAATTCATGTGAGAGAAAACACTGTAGCATAAAAAGCTAAATTTGAATTTTTGTGCGAGAAAACATTGCAGCAAAAACTTGAGTTGTGATTCGAACTAGTGAAACGAACGCGGCCTTAGAATCCTAGCTTCTTCGAATAACCATAAAAGTGCATTGGTGTCCGTACAAAATACTTTTGAACACTTTTACAGGACACTCCAATTGCATTATGTCATGTACAAAAGGTTTCTGGGGCCTCAAAAGGCAATGCCAAACTCGCTCATAAAGGCAATCCAACAACAAATTTAGGTTCAGAAAAGAGAAGACCTTCACATGACAGCAAAACAATTAAATATCAGCACAACACCTTATTCTCTCCACCATTTAACCTCAAATAAGAGGGAAACATATATTAATCCTTCACCAATGAATCTGCCCGTTAATTCTAGAATTTCCATTCAACTGGAGAGTGGACACCATAAATTTAGTGGTCCAATGTCAAACCTGACCACTCATCCAATTTCATATGGCACACAAACTCGAAAAATGTACAGATATATTCCTACTAATTCTGTCCATAGCACCATCATTGACTTCCCTATTCCCTTTCTGTCTAGCGCCTCCGTCTACTCACGTTTGTCAAAGTCACAAAATATAGTCATCAATGACCTGTATCCTCTTTGATTTCAGCACAATCTTATTGCAACAGTATTTTTCAAAATGGCAGTTTCATCCATTGCGGCACCACTATACCCCATACACATTCTTATCAAGCACAAGCACAAAAGGCTATTTAGCTTTTATAACCTCATATTACATAACTATCACTTGATATAAGTAAAACTCCAAATCCACCGATCTCAACGCAAGTTCACAACTACGAATATAAAATAAACGATCAACTGGGTATAGCTACTAAACTGCATTCCATGATTCAATGTTGAATCCCAACTACTCGCTCCGATTTGATGGGAGACGTTAAGCTCAGACACGAAAGTCGACAAATTTCTTCCAACTAACTTATAACCCGGAGGCACACATTAAAATCCGTAATTTCTCCCTATATCAACAACAGGAAGGCATGTACTATTTTTCTTTACCCGAATTTTTCAACAACGCTCAAATTTTCTATCAAATCAATCATCACATAAGTAAATCAAATATTGTACTCACATAATTGAGAGAAAAACTAACAACAATTATAAAATAGGAACAAAAAAGAAAAGTAAAGAAAGAGCAAAACCGAAAAAAGGGGATCGCTTATTGAGAAGCGTCCGCAGAAGAAAGCTTCTCCACGAGCTTCTTGTCTCTTCTTTCCATGGCGACGTCCCACATGTCGTTGCCGATGTGCTTCGGCTGCGCACGAAAATAACACAATTGAGAAAAGCCCTAAAGGATCTTCCAAATCAACGGACATGGAAGACGATTCCGATGAAAAAACCCTAATAGGAAAAAGGAAGAAGGAAAAAGGGGGGGAAGAAAATAGGTTACACGGCCATGGGCGGCTTTGTGGATGTAATACTGAGCATTTCCCATGACGCAAAGCATTCCGGCTATGATTCCCAGCGGCAGAACTGCTTCCAACCACACCAGCGACATTTTCGTCTCTCTCTCTACTCTTTTCCTCTCTTTTCTTTCGATTTTAACTCCTCCAAATCTCTCTCTCTGACTCAACGGCCCGACTATATAAGTAGGCTCGGATAAAGGAATTTTCAAAAATCGCCCTCATAATATTATTTTATTTCTCCACTATTATTATTAAATGTATCTTATGTTACTAATAATAAAAATAATAGTTAAATTTAAAACTTTTTTTTTTAAAAAAGAGTTAATTATAAATATGTCTATTTTTTAGTGAATAAAGAAAAAGTATATCCATAAGTTGTGATTGTGATATTTGCAATCTATAATGACATTTTTATCTTTTATTAACTATCTCTAAAATTAATTATACAAAGTCATAACTATCCACATAAATAAGGGTATATTGGAAATGATATTATAATAATTACTATAAAATAAGACAGATTGGTAAAAAAAGAGATAAGTAGAAAAAATCTTAAGAAGCATGTCAATTATCAGGATCCCAAAAGCATGAGTTCGGGTAGCCCAAATTGAACCAAACAAAAAGTCTGCGCGCAATCGACTCGTTTACTTTCTTACAAGGTAAACATAAAAATAAATTTAAGAAAAGATAATCGGTCGGGCCTGGCTTGGTTCGAATGCATTTCGGCCATAAACATAAACATTACGAAAATAGTAAAATATAGACCAATTTTTAGTTATAAAAATTAATAAGTCATAATTTATCAATTTATAGTTCATAATTAGATAAGTTATGAACATATTTATCAAGTTATGGTTCATAGTCAGACAAATTATGGACAAAAATCATGAATTATAGACAATAACTTGTCAAGTTATGGTTCATAACCAGCCAAGTTATGGACGTAAACAGTAATTTGCCTATTTATTAACTTATGTAAACTATTGGCCTATTAATTTTAATTCATCTCAAGTATTAGCATATTTCTCTCTTTCTCCATAAACATTAACGTGGTCTAGCACGAATGTTTAAGCATACCCAAATTAGAACAATTCTGGGTCAGCTTGTTTAGTCCGTTCTAAATTTACAACTTTAATTGGGGTGAATGAGAGAAATACCACTCTAAGTAGTTAGATTCCAAATATAACACTTTATAAAATTGAAACTTAATTTTCACATTAAAGTGGTGTATGTGAATAACTAGACTTTAAAAATAGTATAGAACGTGATTAACATTCTAGCTTATGGAGCTGGTTATATTCTCAAAATGAGTTAGAGGGTTTCACTTTTAGAGAGATGATATTCGAATATAATATTTAAAAATAAATAAATGTATAGTACATAAAAATAATACGAGTGAATAACTAGATTTTATAAGTAGTAGTAGACCTAATGTTGCACAATATTAACACATAAATGCAAAAAATTATAAGATGAAAGAACAAAGTTTGTTTATATCTTTTTTTTATAGGAAAATGAGATAAATACCCTTCAGAATATATGGGTCTTGGATTTTTATTCTTTACACTTGATTAATACCCTTTAGTTAAAGAACTACATCAGTCAAAAAGATATTAATGAAGAATAAATGATAAAAATCTTAAAGCAATGCATTCAAAGATGAGTTCACCAATTTTTTTTTTTTTTTGTACATAGTATTTTTCCTAAAGCGCAAGCCAAATGGTTTGTGTTTGTGACGACCCTAACTTTTGGTCATCATCCTATGCTCATACTTACCATTTCTTAACCTCTATGACGACCCTAGTTATAACTTCTTAAAATTTCAGGCTATTTTTTTTTCCTTCTTACCATGTACGTTAAAATGTTGTAGCATTCTGACAACATTATGTTACATTAGTCATCAAAATACATAAAACACTATTTTATTTTACATATAAAGTTCAACAACGTTTCCAAAACACGTGATGTATCCACAGCCCACTTGCCCACATTCTGCTGCTACACCCTCTCTGCATGCCCAGCTTTAAGTTTTAGGGAGCCAGTGCCTTACCCGTGCTTCCTACAACACGAACAAACTTAATGAGCTTTTGCTCAGCAAGTATCAATTGGTCATAACAAATGCAATAATTATGCATACCCATATATGCATTTATGTCATATAGCCTAGTACAGAATTCTAAACGACTTTCATTCTGTGTTTCTCATTCTTTTCATTCTTGTTTACGGATACCATATCATTATATGGCATGGTTTCCGTGTTTCATTTTCTTGTCTTTTACTTCTTAGGGGCCTTGTCCTGTTGTACCATAGCGCGTATAACCAGTGAGGAGTGGGGTAGCTAACCAATCCAACTCAGTCGCGGTTTCATATCTTTCATAGTCTCATAATAACCTTTCCTTCGAAAGCTGGTACAAACAGGACTTTTAGTCTCTTACCGTTTATCAATTTTCTCATTGAAATGGTAACTTTAGTTAAATCTTATGAATTTGTGCATTATTGAGCATTTTATCATGAGATTAACTTTTCGTTAAAGTTTAACCTTTCATTTCTCTTAGTTTGATCTTGACTTAACATCGATACATACTTTTTGCAGAATAAAGTTCTACAATTACATAAGTCTTGTAGATACTTACCTAACATAGTATCTAACATTTAAAATTCTACTATATGCACAATTTTTATGCAACATAAAAAAGTAAGCTTGTTCGTGATATAGCCATAGAAAAACTATTGTACTTACCGAAGTTTCGCTAACAACGCGTCATTTGTCTCCCTTGACGCTTTCCAACTTCAACCGTTAATCGGCCCTATTACATAAATTTTTCGATCGTTAGATTCAAAATCTAAGATCAATAATTATATTAAAATTTACGTTGGAAAGGTCTAGAATCCTTATGTTTGGTATTCAACCTTAAACTATTTCCTATCTCAAGGATTTGCACTAAAACCGTGCAAATTACTCAGTCATGGGCCTAATTTTAAGTTTTGGTCCAAAACTGTAAATTCTCGTTGTGTTCGGTTTCTAACCATCACCGATTATCGACACATCTTTCTTTTCACACTTTAATCCTATATTCCTCTTGAAATCCAGTTTTAGTTCAAATTACTCGAACTAAATTTTGGCAGAGTTTCGCCTTATTTTTCTCGTTTCTCAAGTTTTTAATAACTCGTTCTACTTCTGATTTCGGTACCTGGAGTAAATATTTACATTCCTGAACACAGATTCCAACATAAAATTGAACAAAACATATGTTTTTTCTTAATCTAGGCTCACGGATTTTTGATAGAAATCCACCAAAACTTTATTCAATCGTTTTAACACTTACACCGTTAAACTCTTATTATGATACTCTACAAAACCTCAGTTTCAATTTTCACTTTAACGGAAGTTTTTCTGAGATGAGTTACTATTCATCTAAATCAAGAAAATATAGAATTCTCACGAAAACTCTGAAATCTTACCTCCAGAAGTTGAGGTTTTTCCGCTAGAACGCCTCAGGTTACGTTTCTACCGGATTGAACGGGAGAAATCTCAATGAAAATGCTTGATTTTCTTTCCTCCGTCTCTCTCTGGAAACTCTTTTTTTTTTTCTTTTTTCGTAAGTTTCTCACGTCTTTTTTTTTTCTCTGCTATACTTCACGTGAAGTAAGTAATATCCTTGTAACCAACGTGAATCTTTATTACGTGAGCCATCAAGCTAGAGATAACTTCATGTTGCCAGCATTGAGTACATAGCCAACATGAGTCACCCTTCAACTTAGTTTACGTAATGACACATGGTGTTAATGCATGTGGGGTTCCACCTCACGGTAACTATACTTTTCACCCCTTTTCTTTTTTCCTAACGTACCTAAAATTAATCTAATATATATATATATACTATAACTTAAAGATAATTTAATATATAAGTATATATATATATATTAAAATTTTGTGCAACCTACTTTTATTCTTTTCTATATCCAAGATACATGCTAGCAAATGAGTGGGTTCTATACTCAAATTTTTCTTGTCGAGACCTAACTTTCCGTTTCTCAAAACGAGTCTCTTTCCGGTACTAATAATTTCACAATCAGTACAGGTTCTATACTAATTTTCTAGACTGTCGAGTACCATGGGTCAAACTTCTCATGTTCAACCCAATTCTCTTGGGTATCTCATTAGTCAATTTCTTTTTCTGAAATTATCATTTTAATTGATCCAGAATTGCCCAAAACGCGTACCCTTACGGTACTCATTTTTTTGGCAGTTTCCCGCTTTAACTAACTAGGGAAAATTCTGTTTCAGGAACTTTTGCTATTTTTCTTACTTCTAATTTTTCTACTCTTTTTCTAGCTGATCATTTGGTCACATACCAAATATTTTAGTTTTTCATAACTAAAATATACCCGCTAAAATTTCTAACTTTTAACTAATATCTCACTATTCATAAGTGATATTTACAAATTTTCTTTGTAAAAATATCCGTATTATAACTTTACACTTTTCGAGAGATTTTACCCCGTACATAATTTCTAACTTTTAACTAATATCTCACTATTCATAAGTGATATTTACGAATTTTCTTTGTAAAAATATTCGTATTATAACTTTACACTTTTTAGGAGATTTTACCCCGTACATAAAATTTTTACATAACATTTTTTTGATTACATCAAAATTCTACTACTTACTATTTCGAAAAAAATTTTAGTCAAATACTGGACTGTCCAGATTAGACCTAAATTTTTTTTTCCCGGTGATTACAGTGTTGTAAGTTGTAACACAAAAGCAGTTCGCTCATGGACCAACACCATACTCGGGAAACCCCCATGTATTATGATTCGACGGGCCATAAGTAATTTAACAGATCTTGTTCATCCTTGATCTAAATTGGTTTTTGATCGCACTTGGGGCTTCAAATTATTTTGATTGAGGATGGATGGGTCATAGAGAAATAAGCCCAATAACCCATTCTCTTACCTTTGGTCACCTAAAAATCCCAAAAGCTAACATTTCCATTAGCCAGAGGAATTAAGGCAACATCATTTCCACCACTTGCTTATTCAAACACACTACCTTCTCTTATCTTCTTTGAAATGTACGACTTTCAAGCCACAAATAGGTAATTTTACCCCTCTTGTTTAGAAAATTACATAGATATGGCCATTCATTTAGATCCGCCA